GTATAAAGGCTTAGCTGCTGTAACAAGCAGACCCCACAACACGATGGTTTAAAGGAGCCGGAGGATTATTTCTCTCCCACTTAACAGTCCTGTGGGCCAGGGTGGGCAGGCGGCTCTGTCCCACATGAGATTTTGCTGGGACCCAGGTTCCTTCCATCTTGTTGCTCTGCCATCCCTTCCAACATTGTCGTCATCTCTGTGTGGTCAAAACTGGGTCGTGGGCAAAACAGCGTTGAACCCGACAGAAGAAGGAAAAGGGTGGAAGTTCAGGGGAGCAAGAAGTGAGGGGAAGGTGTACCCATCACTTCCGCTCACATCCTCTGGGTGAACCTTAGTCTCCTGGCCACACTGAGCCTCAAAGGAGGCTGGGAAATGTAGTCTCTCTGGGCAGCCGTGTGTCTGTCTCCACCCCTGTTGCCATGGGAGCAGGGAAGACGGGTGCTCGTGCCCTGGAACTGGATAGCAGGTCTGGAACTTGGAGGAGAGGTCCGAGCTGGAGATGTGGGTTGCACGGAGATACAGAGATGCACGGCATGGTGTTTAAAGGTGTGGGAATGGCGAGATGACTTAGGGCGAGCTTGAAGAGACAAAAGGGAAGAGGGCCCAGTATCCAGCCCTGGGGGACCCCATCATTTAGAGGATGGGCCCAGGAATGTCCTTAAGTGTACCCACAATCCCTCATGCTGTGCCCTGGCTCATTTTCCTCTCTCTGGCTCTCCCCTCAGGCCTTGTATGACCCCATCAACCCCGACCGGGAGACCCTGGACCAGCCTTCCCTTACAGACTCCCAGCGTCTGTCCAACGAGCAGGAGGTGCTTCGGGCTCTGGAGCCCCTGCTGGCCCAGGCCAACTTCTCCCAGCTTTCAGAGGACACCCTGGCCTACGCTCTGGTGGTCCACCACCCTCAGGATGAGGTCCAGGTGCCTGTCTTGCAGAGGGAACCAAAACTCCCAGGAGCCCTTGGGGTTGGGCAGGGAGCCTTTGGGAAGCAAAGGCTGCTGGGAGTTGTAGTCCTGCACACAGGGCACGAGCCCGTGTGGTGCCCTTGTGAATTAGAAAAAGGCGCGTCTTCCCCAGGTCACCTCACTGCCATCTGTTGGAAAAGTATCATAACAGACAGATCTCAGGACTAGAGACTTTATCGCCATCTGCCAGAAAATCGTCATAGTAAATAATACAAAACAGTCATCCTTAGAGTCAACAAAATTATAATAAAAATACTAAAGTTCCACATTTTAGTGACTTTTAAGAAGTACTTTTTCCTAAAGTCATATTGTATTGTCTTTGAATTTGGGATTTTACTTATAAGTGGTGGTGTGACATAGCAATTTAGCAACTGGCAATATATTTTCCCTTTTAGTTGCTTCATAAAATAATGGAGTATCCAATTGGTAACCATATTACAACATACAAATGTATCAAAGTAACGGGTTGCACACCTTAAACTCACACAGTGTTACCCATCAAATTTATTCAATTAAAAAAGAATAATGGAGTATGTTGAAACCAGTGGCATCTTAGCTTCTAGGAGATATGGTAATAAGGATGACGATGATGTGAATGGTGCCATCTTAGATGCAGTATACAACATGAACAACCATACATGGCTGCCCTGCCTAGACTCTGGGGGATGATAAGCCTGGGAAGGGGGTGTGATTCAGTGGGGGGAGGGGCATCTAATTCCAGTATCCTGAGCTCACACCCCAGCCCATGCTCAGCTGCTCTGCTTCCTTTGTCCCCCTTGGCAGGTGACAATAAATTTGGATCAGTATCTCTACATGCAGTTCTGGGCCCTGGGCCAACGAGTCGGGCAGATGCCCCGTAAGTCCAGCGTGGGCTCCGAGCGTGGCTTCTTCACCAAGTCGCCCCCTGCAGAGAGGTGAGGCGGCCCTTGTTCCCCAGCTGCAGCGAGAGGGAGCAAGGTTAGAGTCGAGAGGGGACCGACAGGTCAGTGTCTGGGTTTGGGTGTCGGGCTCCGGGTGGGACATCGAGAAAGGGGGACACGTGAATCATCCAAATGCTGCCTTTTCTTCCCAAGGGCAAGTACAGACTCCAATTCCTAGGGGAAGAGAAAGGGTAGGGACACTTCTCCCCCATTTTCCAAATGAGGAAAACTGAGGCTCAGAGAGGGAAGGCCACATTCTGGAAAAGTGGCGCAGCCAGGATTCTGGTGGACATCATATTTTTAACAAACCATTCAAATATAGAGTAGGGGCAAGAGAGCCAGGTCTTCTCACAGCCAGACCAGGGAGCCTGTAAATTACCCAAATTACTCAAATATGGTCCTGAATCCAAAAAACAAAACAAAGCCAAAACCTAAGACAAAAAACCTTTCCTATCCGTTAAACCAGGAATTTCACTTCCAGGAGTCTATTCCAAGGACATATTTATACCTGCAGACTATGTGTTTAGTCATCTGTCTCTTATGCTGGCCTATAAGTGCCACAAAAGCAGTGACTGACTCATTTTCTTGTCTCTTGAGAGATTAATTGCACTCCCTGACACCCAGCCAACACTCTAAAATATATGTAGAATTTGCATTTGAAAATTAACGGAACAGAAGAATTTTATTTAGCTCTCATTTATCAAGTTCGTAAAAATCAGAAGCAACTTCTGTGTCCAACAGTAGGGGATTCCATTATTTATCTGATCCTCTCTTGTTGGACACTTAGCTTATCTCTGACTTTCCTCCCATCATGGTTAGGCAGCTTTTAAAATGATCCTGTGACCGCAGAGCCATAGAGAGTGTCCTGGGGTTGAAGGGGGCTCCCTGGGGCGGTCCTGACCAGCCTCACCCCTCTGTCTCTGTCCATCAGGAGATACTTTAAGCGGGTGGTGCTAGCAGCCCGAACGAAGGGGGGGCACTTGGTGCTGAAGAGCTTCAAGGACACGCCATTGGAGGGCCTGGAGCAGCTGCTGCCGGAGCTGAAGGTGCGCACGCCCGCGCTGCAGCGCGCCCTGCTCAACCTCACGCTTTTCGTCTCAGGCGTGGTCTTCTTCGTCAACGTGTGCATGGTCGTGCTCTCAGACCTCAAGGTGGCCACGTCGCTGCTGCTGCTCTTCTTTGCCGCCTTCATGGGCCTGCGGGCCTCCAAGGTGAGCGGGCCAGCCCCGTCCCCGGCCCTGCTGCCTGGTGTGCAGCCAGGAGGTCGGGCGCCCTTTATTCATTGCTCCTGCTTCATGCTGTGCTGCGTTTCCTCTCTCCTTTCCTTTCCTTTGTCATTCCTACCTTTTCTCCCTCCCTCCCTCCCTCCCTCCCTCCTTCCCTCCCTCTTTCCTTCCTTCCTTCCTTCCTTCCTCCCTCCCTCCCTCCTTCCCTCCTTCCTTCCCTCCCTCCTTCCTTCCTTCCTTCCTTCCTCCCTTCCTCCCTCCCTCCCTCCCCCCTTCCTTCCTTCCTTCTCTACTTATTTACTCAACCCAACCTTGGGCAGGTTTCTTGATGTCTCCGTAGCTTCAGTTTTCTCATCTGGAAAATGGGGATAATCGTGAGACCCGCCTGACAGGGTTGTGGGGACTCAAACAAGGGAATCTGTGGAAAGCGCCGGGCGCAGTGCCTGGCCTGCGGTAGGTCTTCCCTGAGTGTTCAGGGCCAGGCGCCCAGCGCCTGCTTTGAGAGGCACTTTAGTGATGCAGTGAAGGATGTGTGTTGTAGAACCAGGCTGCCTGGGTTTGAGTCTAGCTGCCTGTCTTCTAGCTGTGTGACCTTGAGCGAGCCACTTAACCTCTCTGTGCCTCAGCTCCCACATCCGGATTTAGGACCTAACTCATACGGTTTCTGTGGGCATTAAATGAGTTAATACACCTTCGGTGCTGAGGGCAGAGCCTGACATATACAGAAGGTACTATATGAGTGTTAGCCATTACCGTTATTATTATTATAACGAATGGGGCTGTTGTTCCCTGAGTCTGGGCTTCCCCATCCTGGCCGGCTGTCCTTATCACCAGGGGAGCTGTTTGAGAAATGCAGCCTCCTGAGCTCCAGCCCGAATGGACTGAATTGGAAACTCTGGGACTGGGGCCCAGGCAACTATTTTTAACAAGCTCCCTTCCTGATTCTGCCTGTGAGTGCAGGGCTGTCTCATACTGTTACGAAGGTTGTTCACCATCCAGGGATTTGTGGCCCGGGGGGTGGGTGGGGACTGGCACCCAACCTGTGCTTTGTTGGAGGAGTTGCGTGTGCTAGCTCGAGGCCGAGGCCGCCGGAGGGGCTGCCTTTCACTGACTCTCCCCAGGGTCCGCACTGGCCCCAGGAGGGTACACTGGCATGAGGCGTCCCTCGTACTCGATCATTCACACGCTGGTTCACTGGTTTTCAAGCTGTTCTCAGCTGTCCCAACGGGCTCTTAGGAAGACTGGTAATATATTCCTTGGATACTCGCCAGGCTGTGCTCCCCCGCGGAGGCGGGTCGCAATTCCTGCCTGGGACCAGGGGTCAGGCGGGATTTGAGAAAGCTTTGAAAGGGGAGGACTGAGCCTGCTGGAGAAGGGGCTGGGCACGCATGGCTTGGGGCATCTCACGGGGCTGGGGTCCAGGGTGCAGGGCAGAGAAGTGAGGCCCAGAGGGAGGCAAGGGCCTTGAATGCCAAGATAGGGGCCCTGGGCTTTACCCTCAGGGCAGCAGGAGCCATGGAGGAGTTACTGGCACAGAGGGAGTGCGGCTACTGCAGAGGAGAGAGAAGGGGCAAGACCCAGGGCCGGGAGGCTGGTGAGGGGTGTTGAGCTGGTCTGAGGAGGACACGCAGACTCCCAGCCCGGGGTGGACCATCTGTCCCACCTCTCAGTGGCCCCAGGGGGGCTGTAGAGCCTCTTGGGCTCTGAAAGAGTTGTTTAAAACCCAGTTCATGGGCTGGCCTGATGGTGCAGTGGTTAAGTTCGAATGCTCCGCTTCGGAGGCCCAGGGTTCACTGGTTTGGATCCTGGGTGTGGACCTACACACCACTCATCAAGCCATGGTGTGGTGGCGTCCCACACAGAAGAACTAGAATGACCTACAACCAGGATATAACACTACATACTGGGGCTTTGGGAAGAAAAAAAAAAAAAGAGGAACGTTGGCAACAGATGTGCGCTCAGGGCCAATCTTCCTCACCAAAAAAAAACCCACCAAAAACAACCACCCAGTTCACTAATGAATTTAGTGCATCTATAAATGGTTTCCCATGCCCTGGCTGAGCATCCAGCCCTTCACTGTGGGCCCTCCCCAGCCTCCCTCCAGCTGCCCCCTGTTCCCCATGCACACTTGTTCCCTCCTGTGCGTCAGTCACTCTACGATCTCTGTCTCCACTGCAGGCCCCTCTCCCAGTCTCCAAACCCCTGTCCCCACCTGCTCCCCGGAGGTGCCCTTCCCACATGCACTGCGCCCCCACTGAGCTCAGCATCCATCTTCCCCGAAGCTGCCGTCTCCTCCTGAGTTCCCAGCTCAGGATGGGCGCCCAGATCCGGCCCTGGGAGGCCGATTTCGCTGCAGGGTGCATGTGCCTCTTTCTTCCTCCCTGGAGAGCTCCTGCACTTCTGTGGGTCCCACAAGCAGCTCTCCACCATCAGCCTGAGTGCTCCGCGCTCAGCCTGGAGTGGCCGGCTGGGCCAGGCAGAGCATGGCGTCTCCCTCTCACCCGCTCCTCCTCCAGCTTCTCCATCTCTGGATGGCCCCTGGTGTCCCCCCAGTCACTGGCCAGACCCCCAGAAGTGTCCCTTGCCCTGCCCCCCAGTCTGTCAGTTTCCAGCCCCTCCTCCCTGCTCCCTGAATCTCTGGGCCTGTCTCCGCCCTTCTGTCCCAGCCCCAGCTCAGACCCTCTCCCCAGCCTCCCATTTGGTCTCCTCCAGCCTATCCCCGAGAACCCCAGAGCTGGCTCTGCTCCTCTCTTGCTCGCAGCCTGGCGTCCGAGATCCTGTTTCTCCAGCCTCATCTGACAGAATTCTATGCTTCCGCTTTAGCGCCTCCTCCTGCTCGCCTGCTCTGCTTCCCTGCCCTCCTCTCCCTTTGCATATGCTGTTCCCTTGGCTGAAATGTCCTTTCACCCTTACTGGGCTGGCCAACCCTGCTCACCCCTTACCCTCAGCACAGAGGCTGCGGAAAGCCTTCCCAGACTTCTCGGGCTGGGCTGGTGCTGTGTGGGCTCCCTCAGCCCAGCACAGGGCAGGCCCGTGGGCGGCCTGGGAAGAGTTGTTAGGAAGCTGGCACCCCAGAGATGCCCTGGAGGGAGAGGTGTACCTGACAGAAGTCACAGTGGGCACTGCAGGAGCCCGAGGACGCAGCTGCTCATCCGTGGGCGGCGATGTCCATCCTGAACCTTGAAGATGAGGCAGTCAGTGTTTTCCAAGAACAGACCAGGGGTGGCTTGTCTTGTTCCGAAGCCCAGAGGCGTAGGAGAGCAGGGTGTGCTCGGGTGATGTTCAGGGCAAACTGGCTCGTCCAACATGGGCTGCATTCAGAGGGCAGGAGCAGGAGGGGAGCAGGAAAAATCCTCAGGTGCCGGGCTAAGGAGCCTGGACTCTCTGAGGGCACTGGGGAGCCATGGGAGGGCTGTAAGCAGGGGAGGGGCGGGGTCAGCTCTAGGAAGGGACAGACCGGAGTGGGGAAACTGAGGCCGGGGCAATGCACTAGGCTGGTTGGAGAGGAGAGGACGGCGGGGAGAGAGTCTGGGCAGGAGGACAGGGCTGGGGACGGAAAGGCTGATGAGGAGGAGGTGACGATGGTGCCAGGGGTCTGGCCTGTGACCAGGTAGATGGTGGAGTTGCCTGGGACATGGACCTTAGGGGATGAGGAAGCAGGGACTGGGGGGTCGGGTGAGGGGAGACCCTGAACTCTGTGGACTGCGGCGAGTGTTGAAGGGGACAGCCAGGTGGCAGGTGGTGAGCCCTCTCCAGGGAGGCCTGGTTTCATCTGTGTGCCATGGAATAGTGTGACCCGCTCATCCAACCTATGAGAATTCACCTCCACAAGCTTGGCAGAAACAGACACAAAAACCAATGTGTTTTTCATACCAGCTAGGCCCTGATGCACGCAATTCCTGCATCTTGCTTTCAACCGAAGAAATGGCGATTCGTTCCAACACAGGGACATATCCGACTGTGCTGGGCTTGTAAGATGAGAGCACAGTCTGCACACAGCCGTGTCATCCGTCCTGTGCAGGCCATTTCAGCGATTTCAGGGGTGTGTTGACTTCAGAGGCATTCTACCTTAGGCCTCGGTGTAGGATGGGCGACCCTCTAGGGGCAGAAGATCCTTATATTTAAAAGGCGGCAGCCGGCACGGGGTGTGGACAAATATTCAATAGTAGCTAACGTTTAAATGCTTGTTATGGGGCAGGCCCTGTGCCAAGTGTTTTATTAACCGTGACTTCCTGAGCCCTTCCTGTTACCTATCTCCATTTACAGACAGTGTTACCTGAGGACTTAGGTCGTACCCGAGGGCTCACAGCTGGTAGGGGGCAGAGTTGGACACCAAGGGTGGGGAGAGGGGCAGCTAATAGACAGCTGGGGCCCGGGCCTGTCCCTCCCCCTTCTTCTCCCCTCAGAGCAGCTCTATGAATATTTGTTGTCTGTTTAAACTTTTTTTTAAATTATGGAAAAATTGAAACATGCAAAAATAGAATATAGTGTGATGAGCTCCCATGTAGCCAGCATCCAGCGTCAACAATTAGCAATAGTCCATCAGGTTTCACCCGAAGACCCCCGCTCTCCCACCACTGGATTCTTCTGAAGCATATCCTAGACATCATCTCTAAATACTTTAGTATGTGTCTAAAAGATAAGGACTTAAAAAAATCATTCTAACAAACAGTTCCGAAGCAAGCACTTGCAGCGTCTGGAAATCCTTGAACAAATCCATTAATAGGTGGCTCAGATGAGCAAACCAGTGCAGCGGCTGCAAAAAACAGTTGGCGGCCTCGGAGTCACCGGGGCGAGCGCGTGTGTGTTAAAAAATGCAAATACCCGGGCCCCAGTCCCGGGGACCTGAACCGCAGAGGTCTGGGGAGGGCCCCGAGTCCGCGGGAAGGAGCGGACCAGCGCGAGGGGCTGATGGGTGTGTGGATGGGTGGAGGCGTGGGGGTGCGAGCACGGCCCCGCCCCTCCCGGCTCGCTGAGCTGAGCCCGCGCGGGCCGCTGTCCCGCCTGCAGATGTTCGGGCAGCGGCGCAGTGCGCAGGCGCTGGAGCTGGCGCACATGCTGTACTACCGCAGCACGTCCAACAACTCGGAGCTGCTCAGCGCCCTGGCCCTGCGCGCGCAGGACGAGCACGCCAAGGAGGCGCTGCTGGCGCACAGCTTCCTGGCCCGGCGGCCCCAGGGCGCGCGCCGCCCGCCCGAAGGTAGGACGCGGCCCTGGGACCTGGCCCCAGTTGGCCCCGCCCCGCGCCTTGAGTCCCCGCCCCTTTGCAGCCCCGCCCCGCTAGGCCCCGCCCCCGTCGCCTCGCAGTCCTTCGAGGCTCCTCCCCTAGAGTCCCCGCCCTTGTCCGTTTGCAGCCCCTCGAGGCTCCGCCCCCCGCCCCTTTGCAGCCTCGCCCAGAGAGGCCCCGCCCCGCTAAGCCCCGCCCCATCCCCTGTACTGCCCCATCGAGGCTCCGCCCTCCGCCCCTTGGTAGCCCCGCCCCTGGAGTCCTCGCCCCGCGAGGCCCCTCCCACCCGTGAACCCACTCCATCCCATCGCCACCGGGCTCTGACTTGGCCCCACCTGGAACAGACTCCATCCTGTCCCTACAGGGTCTAGATTCCTCTCAGTCCCAAGTGGCCCTGCCCCAGTGAGACACCCTCCCCACGCTGCCCGCATCCCCACTCCTAGCTCCCACTAGTGAGCCTGACCGATTTCCCAGGTGATCTCGGCCTTCAGCAGACGGGACTCCTGAACTCAGCTTTCCATCTGGGTGGACATGATCCTTCCCCGGGGGGACCTCCATAACCTAACCTCAACCTCAACCTCGATAGGGGTCTTGGATCAGACTCATGTTGTGGCATGCCCCCACCCCCCCGCGCGCTCCTTCCTATCCGTGAACCCAAAACACTTCCTACAAGAGACCTTTGTCCCTTCCCTGTGTAAGCCCCAGATAGTCCCTTCCTAACAGCAGCCTCCACCCTTCCCTGAACAAGAGTCCTTGGCTTGTCCCTAGATGACAGCCCTGGAGCCAACCTCTTAGGCCTTGTCTCACTTCCCTCCAAGCCTCAAGTCTACCAATGCTTCTCCCAAACCCAGACCTTCCCGGTACCCGCTTTGACCTACTCACTACCCCTGCCTCTCCCCCTGCAGAGACCTCCCAGTGGCTCCAGTCCGAGGTGGAGAACTGGCTCCTGGCCCAGTCAGGCTGCGACGTGGCCTTCAACGGAACTCGGGCCCTGGCCCACCTGAAAGCCCTGACCCCCATCAGCGGGATGTACCCGCCCCCGGGTTTCCCCAAACTAGACCCCTTGGCTGCAGTCACTTCTGAGTCCCCCCAGGCCGCACCCAGCAGTGCCAACCCCTGACGGAAACCTCTCTGCCGAGCCCCGCCCAGCCACCTGGTTAGGAACGAAGCCCCGCCTCCTCCACGGCGAGCTGTCCATCATGCCTTGCCACTTCCCAATTTCCAGTTAAGTCCTCGCAGGCAATCGCTTCCGCTACACTGTATTCTTCAAAGCCGCCCGTCAGGGCAGCCTACATTCGCTAGCACCCCTCTTCTGTCGAACAGCCATCAAAGCTTTTTGGCTCTGCTTCTATTCCATCTCTTAGTCCCACCCCCGCCCTAAACATCGAAATGTGGTTTGGCTGAAAAGGGAGTGTCAGCCAATCACAGCTGTTCAGCGCTGCAAACCACCAGCGCAGTTGTTAAACCGTGCCCTCTGGAGCCTCTATATCATTGTCTTTTTAGCCGGCTCCGGGCGATCTGCCCATCGTGTTCACCAAGGCGGAGCCCCAGCCCACAGCCAATGAGAGCCGGTTAGCCCCTCTCTCTGGCAAACCGCCAACGACAGCTGCTGGGCACCCGCAACCTTGGGCAGCCGGTTGTCTCTGCAGAGAAGCAACCAATCAGACTTTCTAAAGGAAACCTGCCCTTTCTATCAATGGCCACCACTTATAAGGCAGGCCATCTGGTCACCTGCTCATCAGCTTGTCCAGGCTGAGGGCTAGGAGGACCCAGACACCATCCTCACCCCAAGACTCACTCCCACCCAGTCCCCAACAACCGCAGGTGCCTTCCCTGCCAGGTCCCTCACCCTTTCTACAGAAACTACCTCGGTCTGCATGTTCCCTCCACCGGTGGCCTGTGCAATATTTATTGGTCTATCAATTTCCTCCCTCCTAAAGGAATAAATCATGTTTAATAAATCTGGATGAGTGGGTAGCTGCAGGGGTTGGCGAGAAGGCAGGCATCAGAATCCCAGAAAGAAGAGACTCTACATTTGAGGATGTTCCAGGCAGAGAAAGCTGTCGTCCTAGAGAGAGACTGGGTTCTTAGTCGGTGAAATAGACTGGCTGTGGGTCCCGGAGGAGGATCTTCAAGAGGACTTGATTCCCGAGGAGAGGGCCTGGTTTCCAAAGAGACTGGATCTTCAGAACAAGGGAGCCAGGACGGCCGTGTGCAGTTGTGCAAATTGTTTCCACATGTGTCTTGACTTGGGTAAGCCTGGAGGAGGAGGCGGGGTGCCATCTAATTTTTACTAAGGTGTCATGTGGGCTAGAAGCAGCATTGGGGTCGGGGAGAGATGGGGGTTGAATTCTAGTGAGGGAAGGAGACTGGGTTTCAAGGCGGAAATGAAAAACTGTCTTCCCAGAGGAAGGGTCAGAGTGAGAAGAGACCAGCTGTCTAGAACACCACCACATCCTGCCTGGTGCAAGGAAAGAAGGAACTGGAAACCCAGATTCCTGGTTCTTTTCCAGAATCGCCTGAAGGTGTAGTCTTAGGGGGAATCCTGAGTTTGGAGACGGGAGAGCCCAGGGCCTCGGGTCTGTTTAAGGGAAAGGCGGCTGGGACCCCGGGCTCCTGTGCCTCGGCTTAGAAGGGCCTGGGGACCTGGAGCTGCTGGTGGAGGGGGCTGTCCCCTTTCAGGAGAGACCAGGCTGGGCAGCCCGGGTCCCTGGAGGAGGAAGGAAGGAGGCAAAGGCAGAACAGACGGTTAAACGGTTTTATTTTCTGGAGGATGCGCGGGGGCGGGGGCTTCGGGGTGAGGCGGAGGGGCCCAGAACGGGCTGGGGCGGCCAGGAGACGCGCGTCCCTCACTCCCGCTTCCGCAGGTGGATGTAGATGATGCCACTGGCCAGGGCAAGGGGGAAGGCCACCCAGGCCAGGGCGAAGCAGTAACCAAAGCTGCCCCCCGGCGGGCGCTCGGCCAAGATCTCCTTCGCGTGAATGGCGTAGATCAGCGCCCCAGTAAACACCGCCACGCCTGCGGGGAGACGGGAACCACGTGTCACGCAATACCCGCAAGAAGACCGCATTTCCCAACCACCCACCGGGTGAAGAAGCCGCCGGAGGGCGCGTGGGCAGCACCGCTGCCTGCTGGGAGTTGTGGTTCGCTCCCCCAGCGCCAAGCCACCAGGCTCCTGCAGACTGGTCTTGGGTAATTAATGCAGTTCATTTCTCTGGGTCCCATTTACTCATCCATCAAATGGGACAATAATATCTACTCACCCATCCATCCATTCAAAGAATATTTTTGAGTGCCTTTCTAAAAGCCAAACACCCCAATAGTGAACTAATAAAACAAGAGAGGAGCTTTGCAGGGATCTTAGGAAGATAATGTCCCCCAAACTGATGACTATGATTAACTTAGCCCTTTGCACCTGAAGTCAAAGAATCGAAAAGTACATTAAGCTCTCGGAAGTGTCTGATACACAGGAGGTCCACCTGGAACAGCAGATTATGACTCAGAATTCTCTCTTGGGGTATTATTTAGCCACCTATCTGCAGCCCCCCACCCCCATCCCTGGGATCTAAATTATTTGCCCACACCACTTTCCCTGGCCCTGATTCCTTGAGGCCCTATGTGCCAGCTCTCCCATGACTCAGAGACACACACTGCAAACCACCGCTGAGTCACTGAAAACTACAACTCTTGTAAGTCCCTGGGGCAGAACGGTAGCCCACGGAGGCACCTCAGGTGCCAGATGTCCCTTCTCAGGGCCCCCAGCATCCTGACAGGCCCCCTCCCTTCCCTTCAGTTCTCAGGGGACAGTGCTCACTGGTGCACAGCTGGCAGAGGCCAGTGGCGTAGAAGAGGCCTCCTCGCCGCATGGTGTAGAGTTGGAACATGAACAGGATGAAGGACAGACAGCAGAGAATGAGGGAAAGCACCATGAGGACCTGCACCGCCTTCAGCCAGCCTGCAATAAGGAGACAGAGGTCCAGAGTTCCACCTTCACCTGCTTGCTCATTATTTGCCTCCCCAACCCCACAAACCCTTCTCCCATCTAGAGCCATACAACCTTAGATCCTCAGGAGTCTCACTTATATTGACCTTGAGTCCCATAAGTTTGCTAAATTCCCTCATCAGTTCTAGAAGCTGCTTTGCAGATTCTTTAGGATTTTCTACATAAATATATCCACCGGAAGTAGAGACATTTTTACTTCTTCCTTTCCCGTCTTTATGCCTTTTATTTCTTTTTCTTGCCTTGTTGCATTGGCTACCTCCAGTACAATGCTGAATAGAAGTGGAGAGAAGAGAAATTCTTGCCTTGCTCTTAGGGGAAAAGCATTTAATCTTTCACCTTCTTTCGCTTAGAAATTTCCATGGATGCAGCTCCGCCCCTTTAGAACTCAGATGCATCTGGCCCCACTCCTGTAGAACCTTGGAAGGACTCAGCCCCACCTCTTTAGAACCTTAATGTGGTTGCACCCCCCACTTCCTTGGAACTTGGGCAAATTGGTCCCAGCCATCCATTCAGAACACCAGTCCCATCTCCTGAGGACTTTGGAAACATAAGTCTATAGTCTTAGAATCTTGGGAGCTTTCTCCCCATTCCTCAAACCTATAGCATGTGGCCTCCACTCCTTCTGAATCATAAAGGAGGGGGTCTCTTGGCCCATCCTCTTTAGAACACGAGCATCTTGCCCCCTACCATCCAGATAGGTGGGTGGGTCTTACATCAGCTCCACTCACTCAGCATTGGGACCCAGACCCACCCATTCAAACCTCGGGGACTTCCCAATCCTCAATCCTGGGAGAAGACGGGGTTACCCCTCCCCTTTGCAGACCAGTCTCCGGCGCCCCTCACCCCTCACCATTCTCGCTGACGTTACTGCAGGCCCAGGTTTTGTTGTCATTGTTCCACGTGCAGTCGTGCCAGAGATTCAGGGACTCCTTCCCAGGGAGGGTCCACCAGGACTGGGATGGACAGAGAAACAAGGGCAGGAGTAGGGAAGGAAAGTGGGCGGGGTCAGGGAGACTGAGGGAAGGATTAGGGAAAGGGCGAGCTGCTGGGGAGGAGCTGAGCTGGGGGAAAACACGGATTTAGCCCGAAGCGGGAGTCAGGGGAAAGGGCAGGGTGGAGGCATCAGAGGCTGAGCTCAAAAGGGTAGATGCTAGGGAAAAGGGGCGGGGCCAGAGGAGAGGAGGGGTGTGGCGGGACTCTGCGGGGCAGCCAGAGGCCCCGCTGCTCCGCGGCTCCAGAAGACTTACCTTGTCCAAAGTGGCCACGAAAAGCAGGATGAGAATGAGGATGTGAAGGGCAGAGACCACCAGCAGGAGAAGCGACATGGCTGCGGTGGAAGCCTGGTATGGGGGACGTCAGGAGATGGTCGTTTCAAGAGGTTGGCACAGGGGCGGAGGAGATGCCTGAATGCTGATGGAGAAGGAGGCTGAGTCCAGACTCCCGGTCTGAGCGAGGAGGGGCTGGAGTCCTGGACTCCCGAATTCCCCAGGGGCTGGAGAGAGCCAGGCATGGACTCTTGGGTCCAGGAGTGAGTAGGACTGGTGACGTGGTCCCCATCTTCTCGGAGCCCTGTCCCATGGGCACATGGGGCCACGATATGAAACTTCAAGTTGACACCCCTCCAGATTCATCAGAAGCTGGGGGCTGCCCCCAGAGACAGGCATCCTTGACTCACCCCACTCCTCTTCTGGGGAGGGTGGAGAGGAAGGGGGACCGGGTGAGTCATCCGGTGACTCATCCCACCCTTGCCTCCAAGTACCAGGGAAACCCCAGCCTCTGGCTGTGCCCACGAGGTCCCCACCAAATCCTGCTGCCAGACTGGTGCCTGCTGGACACCTTGTGAGGAAAACGGACAAGCTCCGTGTTGAAAGGAGAGTGGCCTGAGAAGGAGGAGCCAACCTCCCACGACCTTTCAGTGTCTAGAAAGAGGGGAGGGGGGACCGGGGGTTCCCCAGACTTGGGGGTGTTCTCATGCAAAGCCGTGATCTCAGCGTCCTCAGAGGAGAGTGAAGAGCCATGGGGAAAAACGGCAGGAAGTTTTCGGGCGGAGGGTTCTGCTGGGAACCCCAAAACCTTGCCGGGCCCCACCCCTTTCCAAATCCCCACCCCAAGTGCTAAGAGATCACTTCTTAAATTACAAGAATTTCCATGGGGCCTGAGAGCAGGAGGGTCTCTCCCTGCCTGGGGGGGACCTTTCCAAACTCCTGCAGTGCCAAGTAGATAAAGAAATCCCAGCCCGAATAACGGACTGGAAACTTACCGAGCGGCGGAA